CTCGGCAGGCCGGGGTCGGAATCGTAGTAAAGGAGTCTTCCTTGTAGAAATTCGATCCTGCCCTGGCGCGGTGGGGGGGGCGGGCGCCTGGTCGGGCTGGCGTGCTCCGCCTTGCTGGCCCTTCGGGATCGCTCGACTTGTGCGCGCTGTAGTTCGCTGCCTCCAGCGCCTCTGATGCCGCGCGGCCTCGCGGCGCCCGGGCGCCTGCCGTTCCGGGGCATGATGCGCGCGGACAGCGCGAAGACATGCGGCGGCTGCTGGCCAGGGCCATGGCGCCCAGGGCTCCCCTGTTCTCTGCGATGGCTGGCGACTTTTATTGAGCGGCCGATTGACGTGGCTGGGCCGCGAAGGGCGCCGCGATTCTGGGGGCGAGATGCATTTTCATTGCGTTCTGGGTGTTCCATTCGGGCATCGCGAGGCCCCGGCCCGCCGTGGCCCGCGAACCAAGCGGCGTCCGAGCAATTCGACGGGCTTTGATTTTGCGCTCCGCTGGGATGGGCCCGCACCTCTCGGCGCGCAGGGCTGTGGTTTTCTTTTGGCCTCCGCTGCCCGGCGCGTCGAGCGACGGGCCTGGCCCGGTGCCGGCCGCGATTCTTCGAGGCCCCAGCCGAGCTGGGAGGGGGCGCCAGAGCCCCGCGAAATGGCGACTGCAGGTCTCGAGCCAGAGTGCCCTGTGCGACGGCCGATGCAACTCGAGGCCGCAATGCGCTCGACATCGGACCGCGCGTCCGTGGAGCTGGCGCAGGACGCGAGCGCGGACCTCAAAACGGGCGACAAAGTTGGATACGCCATGCGATTCGCGAGCGCGACAGAGGGCGGCCGCGCCAGCGCGACGCGCCGTTGCTTACAGCAGTATCCGCATTTGGCCACGCTCGTCGCCGACCCGATGGGATTGGCGCATTGCGGTGGCGCTGGCCTTCATGCTTTCCGCGGGCGCGCCGTGGAGCTCGTGCGGGAGGCAGCGATTAACCAGCTGGCGGACCTTCATGGCCGAGGAGCCCGCGCCTCTGAGGACCGCGACAATCGTCGGGAGCGATTGTTCCACGTCCTCAGGCGCCTGGCTCCCGGGCGGTCCGCGGCGCTCCCCGCTGTTCGCAGCGCTCGCGGCCAAGTCCTGACATGCCCTAAGAAATGGCCGACGCTCTTCGCGCCCGTTGGTCGGCGGTTTTCGCGCCCTGCGGCGTGGGCCGCCGCTTGCTGAGCCAATGACTTGAGGAAGACGCAGCTATTCGTGGGTTGCCCCCCGTGGGCGGCCCTGAATGGCCCCCGCGACGCGAGGGCGTTTCGGCCGCCGTGGAAGCCTCGCCTGACTCATCTTCAGGGCCCGATAGCATGCCCTTCTTGTCCTGGCAGCAACTCCTTCATCTGTCGACTGATGTGCTTTTTGCCGCTCTACAAGGGATTGCTTCGGAGGCCGCCCCCGCCGCGGCACTGGGCGAATTTCTGCGCGGGCCGTCCGCGGCCTCTTTTATCTTCTGCCGAAGACACCTCCTGGCTTCGACGAGGCGTCCGGCGACTTTTACGACCCGGCCGGGGGGCGCGAGGCCACTGAGCATTGCCATCTGCGACGACAGATTTTTGGCGAACGTCGCGCGCCTGCGCACCGAAGCGCCGCTGGCTTTGTGGATGCCCCCCATGCAGAGGGTTGGGAGGCGGATCCATGTTCGCGAACGTCGCGGACGTGGACTTGGCGATGATGCGGGCGGCGCTTTCCCGAAGACGGCGCGGCTGTCCTCTTCGACTTCGCGGCGGCCTCCTGAGCCTCTCGCGCGCCTACCTCCGGGACTCGCTGGCCGCGTTGGGCTCGCCTGTCTGGGCGCCCCGCTTCGTCGCGGGTATCTACCAACAGAACAACTCGAGTGTCCTAGTGGCACGGGGTCGGCAGCGCGCGGGTTTCGAGATTTTGGCTGGCATTCGACAGGGCTGCCCCTTATCGCCGCACCCTCTCTCCTCTGCCGCGGACGTCCTTCAGCGACGGATGGCGCAGCTGGTTCCAGATGCGCGCGCGCGACGTGGTCGTGGTCATCTGGTTTCGCCCCCCTCCGGGCTTTCGCCCAGCTCTCCGAAGAGTTTGCCCGGATATCAGGTCTGCGGCTCAACTTGCCGCAGACGATTTTGGTCCCAATGTCGATCCATTCGCTGCTGGAGCTCGCGGCCGCCATCTACCGCGACCACCCCGCCTGCGCGGGCCCGCGCGTTTCGAGCCGCGCGCGGCACTTGGACTTCGCCCTGGGGCCCGAGAGGGTGGGGCTCACATTTCACGGGCCGTTGGGGAAGTTTGCCGCCCGCGCCGGGGCGTGGGGCGCAGTCGGCTGGAGGCTCTTTCTCACGTGTCTCGCCGTCGCGGTCTACATCCCCGCTTCCGAGTCGCCAGTCAAGAGGCTCTCCCTGATGGGCTCCAAGTGTCGACCCGGTCGCGTTTGTTGCGCAGTTGGATCGCAGACAGCGCGCACGTCGTGCGGCGCGGTCGCTGGGCCGCTGGGCGTCTTGGTTTCAGAGGGCAATCGTATTGCAGCTGGAGGCATCCGTGGAACACTTCGATCGGGCAGGTCTCGCCCCGCGCCGACAAGAAGACTGCCTGGCTGGACGGGGTCTCCGGCCGTTCCAGCGCCGCACGGCTGACCCAGTGAGTCGCCGCTTTCGGCGCGAGGCCCAAGCGATGCCGCCCTTGGCGAGCGAGGCTTGGCTGGAGACGCCGGCCCGCCGCAGGTTGGAGCGGTGGGGAATTCCATTATTTCCCTGAATCCGCGCGCAGCGCAGTTTCCTGGCGTTGCACCGGCTGGCCGCCGTGGCCCCGCCGCGGGCTTGGCTGGCAACGCGGCGTGCCACGTGGAATGGCTGGATGACGTACCGGCGGTTCCCGGCGGCATAAATCGCGAACCTGTGTATTTGTTTCGGGCCAGCCGTGCCAGACGAGATTGAGCATTACGCGTATTGTGTTTCGGTGTGGCGATCTGCAGAGGAGTGTCTCGGGCTCGCTCGGCCGCCCACCAGGCCGGAATGCTTGTCGTATTTCCTCGTGCTGGACACCCCGCCCTACCAGGTCGAATGTAAGCCTGCCCGTCCGATGCGCAAATCGCTTCGCACAGCCGCCGCGCATAGAGCGAATTGCCTCGCACGGCGCGGCGCCGTCACGGCCATCGCCACGGCGAGGGGGGCGCTTCGCCAGTCTGTTCGCGAGTTGGGCCGCGACCGCGCGGCCGCGCAGCTTGCCTTCGGCGACCGTTGCTAGATTGTCCGGCGCAGCTCTGGCGACGGCGTAGCCGCGGGACCTTTCGAGCGCGGCGCCGGTCGTGCGCGCGCGTGTGTGTGTGTGTGATTTGGAGCAATCCTCCTGTGCTTCCCTTCTCCCCTCCGATTTTGCCTTCGTGTTTCGCTTCCCTCTCCCTCCGAATAGGCTGGGCTGGGGCCCGCCGTTCGCACGTGCCGTGCGTGTGGCTTGTTGGGGGCCGCAGGCGGCCGACCCCGGGCGCTGCTCCTGGGCTCCGCCCTCTTGCCTCCCCCGGGCGCTGCTCCTGGGCTCCGCCGACCCCGGGCGCCGCCTCCGCTTCGCGTGTGTATCTAGTTGCGGATGGTATTTCAGTTGGCGAGTGCACGTGCCAAACTTGCGAAACGGGCTTACTTCCCCTGCCTTCACCCTCTCCGTGTATCTCTCTCTCTCTCTCTCTCTCTCTCTCTCTATATATATATATATATGTGTGTGTATGTATGTATGTATGTATGTATGTATGTATGTATGTTTGTATGTATGTATGTATGTATGTATGTATGTATGTATGTATGTATGTATATGTGTATATGTGTATATATATATATATATCAGTTTGCAGGGCGTTTCCTGCCGAGTGGTGCTAGGCGTGCGCAGGCATTTTCTACCATGAATGGTGCGCTTCATTTCTCCGCGCCCCACCCGCACGCTTGTTATTTCGGTCGTACCGACCTATCCTCGATTTGGGGCTGGCCTCTGTTGTATTTCATTCGTCGTTTTCCACCTCCTTTTCATCCTGGCCCGAGCCCGGAGCAATCGTGTTCTTCCCTTGCACTCGGCATTGCGAAAATGTCTAATTGTGGGCGTATGTGTTTATAAACGGCTGGACGCCGTCGGGGATGCGCGTACATTTGGTGGATGGACTTGAGGGTGGCGCTGCACCTTTGAGTTGTCTGTTGCATGCACAGAGCTTGGAGGTCACCGGTTTTCGTCGCGCTGTCATTCCCCTCGCTGTTCCTCCTTCTTCTGCCCAGAATTGCGCTGGAAAAGCAACCCTTGGTTCCTATCTCGCCCCAGCCGCCTTCGATTGCAGTCAGGATCCGCGCGCTTTTGCAGAGCATCTGCTTCGACTGTGCGGACGTTCGCGGGTAAGTTGCCCGTGTCAGGTCGCGCGCGAGCGCCTCGCTTCCAGTGTGCGGTGCCGCGTTGGCGGCGTGCGTAAGCCACCGCGTACGGTCACCATGCCATCGCGCGTACAGTGGAGACCCATGCCGAGAAACACAGTGCTTGCCTCCAGGGTGCCCTGGGTTTCTGGGGTTTCGATGGCTTTGCTATGGAACACGTGACGTTCCCACACCAAAAACCAATGGACGTCCTGGGTTCTCAAGTTGACTCAAGGTTGGGTTTCTTGTGGAAGGTGGCAGGTTTCCTTAGGTCGAGCTCGTACTGCAAGACCCCGTGGCTCGGAGCTAGCACCTCGCCCACGAAGGCCCTCCCCAGGGACTGCCACCTGGAACGCCCTGGGCTTGAGAGCACAGTGCACCCTCATCGCGCATATCCTTGCTAGATACGGGTTCGCTGCACCATGCCCCGTGCCGGAGAGCAGCCTTATGCTGGGCCTGTCCCTCTGCAGGGGGAATCTCAAGAAAATAGTCAAAACAAAGTCGGGGGACTATTTATTTGATTTGTTTTTACGATTTTGCAAAGTTTTTAGAATATGTTTTATCTTTCGTCGACAATCCCCCTGTAGGGGGACACGCCCGAGTTAAGAGTAGCCCTCCCCCCCCCCGAGGCCATGGGGCCCGCCGACTGCCAACGAGGGGGCGCCGCCGCGCCGGCGGGCGTGTCCCTGGCGGCCCGCGGGGGGCGCGCCGAAGCGGCGGCGCTGGCCCCCGTGGAGGCCCCCGGCCTCGCGGCGCCGATCGGCCGCCGCCGTCGCGCCGCCGCGGCCGCCGCCGACGCCGCGGTTTGGCCTAATTCGGGCATGTCCCTCCACAGGGGGAAGATGCAAAACTAATTCAAATGTAGCCTCGGGATTTTGTTGCTTATTTTTGTTGACTGTTTTTGAATATGTTTTTGACGACGTTCTAGTTTTCCTCCATAATCCACCTGGAGGAGGACTTGTCCGACCTAAGGTGAATCGCCGCCGCCGCCGCCGGCGTGGTCGCCGCCACCACCAGCGTGGTCGCCGCAGCCGCCGCGGTCGTCGGCGTGGCCTAGGGTGCCGCCGTGGCCTTTTTGTTCGCGCCCCCTGGAGAGGTTTGTGGGGCGCGATTTGAAGAGTCTGTCGTCGGGGTCGCGATCGCAGTTGTCGTGATTGTGATCGCCGTTGCCTTTGCAGTCATCGTCGTCGTTGTCGTCTTCGTCGTCGAGGCGTCGCTGTCGCTGTCGCTGGCGGTGTCACCAGTCGTCGCCGTCGTCCGTCGTGGAGGTGTGGTGGGGGAGGGTTCAGCCCCCATCCTCCAACCCCGTCCAAAAGATGAGGGGGGCAAGGGAGGAGGAGTGACGAGGGGTTGAGGGGGTGGGGGAAGACTTAGCGCGCCTCACGACGCGGCATCTTCCGCCCCCTTCGTTTCGGTAGCGCCGCCGCTCGGCCTGTATTGGATGGCACCTCCAAAAGGCACCCGCCTGGGTGTCGGGCATTTGCGGATGGCTCGCCTCTCCACGCGCCCTCTCCCTTTCCCTCTCCCCCCCGTCTCTTCTTTCCCATCCCATGCAGAGCTGCGCTCCGCTCACGCATAGCCTTAAGTCGGGCCTGTCCTTCTACAGGGGGAATATTCAGAAATAGTATAAAAATAGTCTGGGGACGATTTTTTAGTACTTGTTGACCATTTGGGGGATATGTTCTGACTATTTGTTATCTTTCGTCCAACATCCCCCTGTAGGCGGACACGCCCGGCCTAAGCATAGTCCTCCCGCCCGAGCTGTACCCCGAGGGAGGTGCGGCCCCAGCTCCCGCGGCGGACCTTCCTGCTGTCGGGAGCGCCGGCCGCCTCCGGCCGTGGCTTTTCTCGGGGGCACGAGATCGTGCAGGCGGCTGTGCGTGGGCTCCTTCACGAACCTTATGATGTTCCAGCCTACGTTAGCCTTGACCACCAGAAAGAATTTCGAGCACGAGGAAAGTACCCAACATCTCAAGGGTTTTCACGTGTCGGACCCTGGGAGACACTCGTCCGACATTGTTTCGACACTCTTTCGACAATCTTTCGACACTTTTCCAGGTGCTCGAAATTACTTCTGGGATGCGGTCCTTAGTACGATGGGAGCAACATAACACGAACCGCCAGTGTGGTTTTGCACGGGTTGCGGTGCCATCGTGCGGACAAAATCGGGCCCGGGTCAGGTCCAGGGGCAGTTTGTTGGAGTCACGCCCGTCCAGCTCTTGCCACACGGAGAGCAGGCTTTGGAGGGGCCTGCATCCCGATTCGGCGCGATCCCCGCCCCCGCGCTCGATTCGGTCGTGGCTCCGTCGTTGGATGTCCGAGCCTTGTGGGCAGGGAAGTCGCGTCGTCCTAATGGTTCGGGTCCCGAGGCCGAGGGAGGTTCCTCGGGCACGGCAGGTCGACCTCCGCGACGTCGTGGCCCTGGCGGCGCGGCGGCACGCGGCGCCCCTCGCGCTGGTGGCGGGCTAGCGCGACCCGCCGCCGCCACGGCCGCGCCCCTTCACGACCGCGTGCCGCGGAGCCGTGCTTCGGGCGGCGGGGCCCAGACCCCCGCTGTCTCGGGTTGGCTCAGAATGACGTGCACGTACAGGTGGAGACCGATGCCAAGAAAACACCCTGCTTGCCGCAAGGGTGCCCTGGGCGTCTTGAGCTTCGATGGTTTCGCTGCGGAAAGCGGGACGTTCCCGCACCAGAAATCCATGGACGTCCTGAGGTCTCAGGGTTGGGTTTCTTGTGGAATGTTTCTGGTGGACTGGGGGGGCCGTATCCATGCGCAGTCGACCGGCATGGTAAGGATGGGCAACCATCCCAAGGGTGCCCTTGCATCCTTGCCTCCTCGGTCCATCCTTCGCCATTTCCGTTGGCCGCGCCCCGCTCGAGAAGCTTCGACATGGGCGTCCAAAGCCCGTGAACCTGGCCCTTGCATCCTTATCGCGCATCTTTATGATGATACGGGCCGACTGTACGTGGTTGGGCGCGTTACGTCCAGTTGTCGTGGCTTCCTCAGTCTCGGCGGCCTCTCCTGGATCTCCGCGTCGGGGGGCCCGCTGCGGGCCCTGGGGCCGTCCACAACAGATCCTATCCAGGATGTTGCCTTTTGGGGGAGGTGGTCGGGAGCTCTGAGGCCGCGGGTTTCTGATGAGCCCTCGTTGTCCTCATGCTCCTCGCTATCCTCACGTTCTCCACGTCGTCCTCGTCATCGCCTCCTCGTCGCCCTCGCCTTCGTCTTCTTCTTATCTTATCCCAATAGGCGCCCTTGGACTAAAGCGGCGCTTCCCGTTCTTGTCCGATCAGGTTTCCGATGAGCCCTGCAGTATGCAGCCAGACCTGGCCAGGCTCCTCCTGGGCCCGCAGGATCGGTGCTCATGCCCCTGTGACCCAGCCAGGCCTGGAGGGCGTACGCGCACTGGTCTTGAGCCGGGCATGGGGGCTTGGCCAGGGCCCGTGGAGATACAGAGGCGTCATCCTGCTTGTCATCGCGCGCGAATTCCGCCTCGCCCCGGGCTCGGCGCCGTCGTCGGCGTCGTCGTCTTGCCTCGTGCTTCCTGCTCCTCCTCGCCGATGAGCGAGCATGGGGAGGGTGGTCTCCCAGTGTGGGGGCGGAGGGCGGCCCGTTGTGCGATGAGGAAGTACTCTTCGTGAGGCAGTCCTCTTGCGCGGGTTCGCTTCTCTGTTCTCCATGGCTCCACGGCTCCTCACCCACCTGCTCCTCCCCGGGCACTTGCGTTCGTTCTTGTGGTGCCGTGCGCTGCATGGCAGATGGGAGGGTGGCTGAGGTTCTGAGAGCTGTAGTGCGCAGCGCAGTTTGAGCGGCACCGTTGACGCGCCGCGCGTCGTGTTCATTTGTATGCTTATGTCGGGCCTGTCCCTCTACAGGGGGATTTTCGACGACAAATAAAACATACCCCAAACATGCACCAAAAAGATAAAACATACTAAACCAAAAGTCCCCGAAATATGTTTTGATGTTGTTTGATTATGGTTGGGGTATGTTTTGTCATTTTTCGTCGAAGATCCCCCTGTAGGGGGACAGGCCCGACGTAATTGTATGTCCCCCCCTCCTCGTTCTCAGATCTCACAGGGCTCCTGGACCGACCTTGCTGTGATCGCGCGCCAGTCCTCCCCAGGTGTATGCACAGAGGAGGGGCCTGGTCGCCGAGTGGCGTCCGCACGGCTGCCCAGAGGCTGTTCTCAATCGCAGGCCAGTCGAATCGCTTGCACATTCGAAGCGACCAAGCCAAACCCAGAGTCCGGGGAGGGGGGGGGGGCGTCTGGATGCCGCAAGTCTCGGCATGATCCCACACATTAAACACGGTACAATTGCCGCTCAAAGTGCGGACGAAGTGGTTTTGCAGGGGTGCCTTTTGGCATCCTTGCCTTGTCCGACCGTTCCGAGCCAGTTTTGATTGCCAGTTGTGCCCTTGCGGCAAGCTCCGATTCGGACGCTCAGGCGCCCAACAATTTGTCCTCCTTAGTTACTTTGCGTCCTTACCGTGCGTGGCGGCGGCAGTGTGAGACATGATGCCATTTGCCAAACAAGAAGATACTTTATACAAAACGTGAGAGTTGATGTTGGAGTCCATGTAGTGTTTCGTGATTAGTGTTTGTGTGTGTGGCTTTGTTCGGGCTCAAGAGTACCACGCCCAGACGACCGGGCTCCAAGCGCACGCGCACCTTCAGAGGCCCTTCCCTCGATTCAGCCCCTGGGCCTCTCCTGGCGTGCGTTTTGGCGACGGAAAAAGCGCGTTCTGTGGGCGCATGGAGGGGGGGTGTTTGGAACCAGACCCCGTTTCCCCCTGGATTGACGGGGGGGGGCGGTCGAACCCTCCCCCTTTTCCCGTGACGGAGGGGTGGGGGGGTATCGAACCCCCCCCTTCCCTCCCATTCATCCCCTACTTTCCTCTCTCCCTTTCCTTTGGCCGGCGCCGGCGCCGGCGTCGGCGGCGGCTGGCGGCGGCGGCCGGGGGCGTCGATGAAGACGACGACTTGCTTTTCTGGGCAGGTGCCGGCGCCTGCGGCGGTTGACGGCGGCGGCGGGCAGCGTCGACGAGGACGACGGCGACGACGATGACGACGACGACGACGACGTTCCGCCACCGTGTTTTCGCTTCAGATTAGAATCCTAATGGATGCCTCTCGGGGTCTTGTCGGGGGGGTCTCGGGGGCCTCAGGAGGGCATGTGTTGTGGTGGAAGTTGTTGTGGTGGTTGTGGTGTCAGGTTGTGGTGGTGGTCGTGGTGGTGCTGGTGGTGCTGGTGGTGAAGTGGTTTCTGGTGGTGGTGGTGATTGTGGCGGTGTTGGCGGTGGTGGTGGTGCTGGTGGTTCGTGGTGGTGGTGGTGGCTGTTTTGGGTTTTGTGGTGACAGGTTGTGGTGGTGGTGGTGCCGGTAGTAGTGGTGGTGGTGCGGTGGTTTCTGGCGGTGGTGGTGGTGGATGTGGCGTTGGTGGTCGTGGTGGTGGTGTTTGTGGTTCGTGGTGGTGGTTGTTGTGGTGGTTGTGGTGATAGGTTGTGTTGGTGGTGGTGGTGGTGAGGTGGTTTCTGGTGGTGGCGTCGGTGATTGTAGTGGTTTGTGGTGGTGTGTTGGTTTGTGGTGGTTTTGGTGGGTTGTAATGGTTTGTTGTGGTGGTGGTGGTGGTCGTGGTGGTGACTGGTGGTGGTGGTGGTGGTGGTGTGGTGGTTTGTGGTGGTGTGATGGCTTGTGGTGGTGGTGGGTTGTGGTGGTGGTGGAGGTGGTGGTGGTGGTGGTGGTGGTGGTGGTGGTGGTGTGGTTTTTGTGGTGGTGGTGGTAGGTTGTTTTGGTGATGAAATGGTGGTTGTAGCGGTGGTTGAGGTGGTGGCTGTAGTGGTGTGGTGGTTTGCGGTGGTGGTGGTGGTGGTGATTGTGTGGTGGTTTGTGGTGGTGGTGGTGGCGATGTGGTTGTTTGTGATGGTGGTGGTGGTGGTTTTAGGTTGTGATGCTGGCAGTGGTGGTAGTGGTTGTGGCGGTGGTGGTGGTGGTGGTGGTGTGGTAGATTGGTGTGGTGGTGGTAGTGGTGGTGGGTTGTTCTGGGTGTGGTAGTGGTGGTGGTGGTGGTGGGTTGTTGTGGTGGTGGTGGTGGTGGCTGTGGTGGTGCGGTGGTTTGTGATGGTGGTGGTGGGTTGTGGTGGTTGTAGTTGTGGTGGTGGGTTGTGGTGGTGGTGGCGGTGCTTGTAGTGGTGGCGTGTTGGTTTGTTGTGGTGGTGGTGGGCTGTGGTGTTGGTGGTGGTGGTGGTGCTGCTGCTGCTTGTGGTGCTGGTGCTGGTGGTGGTTGGTGGGTAGTGGTGGAGGTGGACGTGGTGGGTTGTGGTGGTTGTGGTTGTGGTGGTGGGTTGTGGTGGTGGTGGTGGTGGGTGGTGGTTGTGGTGGTGGTGGCGGTGATGGTGGTGGTGGCGGTGGTTTGTGGTGGGTTGTGGTTGTCGTGGTGGTTGTGGTGGGTTGTGGTGGTGGTGGTGGCGTTTTTGGTGGTTGTGTAGTTGTTTGTTGTGATGTTGGTGGTTGTGGTGGTGGTTGGTTGTGGTGGTGGTGGTTGTGGTGTTGGTGGTGGTGTGCTGGTTTGTGGTGCTGGTGGTGGTGTGGCCTTCTGGTCTTCCCGCCACCGTGTTTTGCAATTGGCTCAGGTGGTGGTGGTGGTGGTGGGCTGTGGTGGTAGTTGTGGCGGTTGTGGTGGCGGTGGTGGTGTGGTGGTTGGTGGTGGTGGTTATTGTAGTGGCGGATGTGGCGATTTGTGTCTCCCCTCTGCGGCCTCTGGTCTTCTCTGGTCATCGCCGCTGCGTTACCGCCATCGGCGCTGCTGGCCGCCGCCAGCACCAGCGTCGGCGCCGGCGCCAACGGGGGGGGGGTTGGACCCCTCCCCCCTCTGGCGTCTCTTTGGTCATCGTGCCTGCGTCTGCCGTTCGCGCTGCTGCCCGTCGCCAGCACCAGCGCTGGCGCCGTCGCCAGGGGAGGGTCAAAACCCTTCCCCGCCCCCTGGGACTTCGGCGACGACTTCGGCGGCAACGGCGACGCCGACGCATACGACCACGGCGGCGGCGATCGCGACAGCGACCACCACACCGGCAACGGCGACGGCAGCGGTGGCGGCGGCGGCAGTGATGGCGACGCCGACGACGACGACCACGAACCTCGGTGCCAGAAAGTTGGATCCTGGACCCTCGGACCTCGTGGGGGGCGGCCTCAGGCCAGGGCTCTCGGCGCGTTTGCCTGCGCCTCTGCCCGTCGGTCGCCCCATTTCCTCTTCCATCTCATCTCATCCTCCTCACCCCTCCCCCTCCTTCCCCTCCTCCTCCCCCTCCTCCCCCCTCCTCGTCCTCCTCCACCTCGCCGTCATCAGCGCCATCCTCTGCCCCCTCATCGTCTTCTGCTTCCTCCTCCTGTCCCAGCGCCCGCTTCATACGTGGCCATGGACTCGGGGTGGGGGGGGGGGGCGAGCCTGTCGAGAGCGGAGCGCGGGTAGCCAGTCGCGTGGACGGGTGAAGCCTGCCTCGGCGTCGTGCCGTGTCGGGAGGGTGCTTTGGATCTCCTCGCTTCGGGGCTTGGCACGCGCAGCCAGTTGCAGCCCCTGGCCATTCCGGTCGACCAGGGCCGCCAGGCG